TTAGTACCGAGCTTGTTTTCTCAACACCCAGGAGATGGAGAGGGCGTGGCCGCGTACTTCATTCAGATGTAGCGGCGACTGCGCTTCTGATGGAATACTGTCGTTTTAGGGCAATTCCAATAATGGCCTGGTCGAACAGGACAGCGTGGCAATTGTCTTGAATGGGAATGTCCCACGTGAAACGCATCAAAACACGAGAAATCATTTAAAAATCAGGTAGTTGGCCACGCCCAATCCATTTCCAGGATATGGAGTGGCGAGAATTGACTGGCGCTCTAATATTGTGGTATGAATTATATCCGACACAGAATTGCAGTGTAGTTTGTGGACCTCCCCAAAAAAGGATTGCTCAATATCTAAATTCTCTGCTTTTCTAAGAGTAATAACATTCATAAATTTCTGTCATACAAGTTATTACAAGCTATTGTTTCAGAATATGCCGAAATGGTTCAGTCCAAACATGGCCATTAATGAGTTGCGTGAAATCAACTGGGTAGGTCCTATCACAGTGGAGACCACCCAAGGTGGTAAAGTGAAAATACCTGAACCAACAGCTCATACCGGTCCACGTCCAGTGCAAATACGTATCTTATCACCTGTACATCGACCTCACATGGTGATCGCTTAATACAGTTTTTCCTACAATTTTTAATCAAATTACTCAATTATTATTACAGTCTCCAGCGGGTAGTTCAAATCAACAACCAGCCTCACCTTATATAGTTTTTCATTGTCATGGTGGAGGATATGTAGCCACTTCAAGTAAATCGCATGAGGTATCGGTATTTTTCAGAATTTTTTCAATTGTTTTAGATAGTGTTGGAAGGCCACTGATTTCAATAAATTTCAATAACTCTTTAGACCTACCTCCGAATGTGGGCAAAACTTTTAAATTGTACTGTGGTATCAGTGGAGTATTCGTTAGCGCCGGAGAATCCTTTCCCACGGCCCACCGAGGAAGTAATGTTCGCCTATGCGTGGATCATCAATAATCCACATTTAGTCGGTGAGTACTGAAATCAGAATTAGTTTTTCAGAGCTTTCTTCTTCTCCTTAACTGGAATGTTTATCATTTTGGCATTTTTCCCCTTTACTACTTCACTGTATAAATCCTAGGCTAGATTTTGACCGAAATTTTTCGCATAGGGTAGAAGCGGGAGCCAAATGTCGCCTTTATAATGCAGTCGTTATCCGGGTAGTTGGTTAGGCGGCAAAATGGTCGCGACGCGGCTGCGGCTCGTCAGACCGCGGCGATCAACTGTTTCCAGCCGGTTTAGCCATTTTCTCCCTAGTTTTCACTGCATTTTGTAATTTTCCCCAGGTAAGTTGTGTTATTGCCTTATGAAATGTACTAGGACGTGAATTCTTTTTTGATTTTGTAATAAATGTCTTGTGTTCAGACTAGACGAGAATCCCAATCATAATTTCATTTTGTGAAGAAAAATAACAATACCAACCCCAAATCACAAGAAAAGCAGCCCAAAGGCAGTAAAAATTAGAAGAGAATAACGGACTAAACCCACGGGCTGGAAACAGTGCCGCGGGTCGTGACGCGCCGCAGCCGTTTCGCAACCCCTTGGCCGCCTAATCAAGTGCCCGGATGACGACTGTACTTCCCCGCTTGTCAAATGTTTCCTCTCCTAGGGTTCTTTTCTACCTACTTACATAACTCTTGTTCTTGAACAGGTTGGACTGGCGAGAAAATGTGCATGGTTGGAGATTCAGCTGGTGGTAATTTGATAATGTCAGTGAATCTTCGACTGATTGAGTTGGATGTGAAAAAGAAACCGGATGGTATTGTTCCCGTGTACACACCGTTTTTATTTCAGGTAATTTTCTATTTTGGCACATTTTTCATTGCGCCGTTTTTTCACCCACTTCCCTTCCAAATGCAAATGAGTAATAAGTTCCATTTGCAACTGAAATTTTCGTGAAAATGGCAATTTCCCTTTTCCCTTTGAACAAAGGTGTGTCTCCCTCTATGCCGTAAAAAGGTGGCGCAATCAATAAATTCCACTTTGGAGTTCAATATAACGCCGAGTTCGCCATCTTGGTCTCCCAAACCCACCTCTGAGTGTCCCAGGTTGAATTATCAGAGAATGAATAAATCAGTTTTCATGTGTGCGGATTTACATCTGCAAAGGTAATGTGATGAATTTATGAATATTTGCTAGGACTAATGTTTTTTAAAACCAGTATGTCTATTAATAGTTATTCGATTTATTACTCGACCTCTGTTTCAGTATCTACCTTCACCATCTCGGTTATTGAGTGTAATGGATCCCCTTCTTCATATGGGAGTTGTATTGCGATGTGTTGCCGGTAAGTCTTACAGTTATTACTTTTGGTAGATTTGGTATTTGGTATTACTCCATAGAACAATGACGAAATGCCGACGGTTTGTCCGACATAATTCGGAACATAAAACATTCGCGAATATTGCTTTCAATGGCGGTGATATTTTTGAACTTTCGTAGCATGAAACAGCGTTTAAACTTACTGCAGGAGACCCATTGGTGTTCAGGAACAAAGACCCATCCATATTTTTACTAATTCAGTCATTTGCAAAAGTTGGGCCGAACCGGGATTCGAACCCGGGACCTCTCGCACCCGAAGCGAGAATCATACCCCTAGACCATCCGGCCACAATGCCAATGTTGCGAACGCGAACACTTATTGAACGTCAATTCGCGTCGGCCCTGGTGATTCATGCGCCGAACATCTGCCACACGTGATCAATAACCATTTAGTTTAATTTAATTTGACAATTTGATTTAATTTACTTTGTTATTTACAGCGTACACTGGAGGTTATGGGAGCTTTCAAAGGATTGAAGAGAACCAAGATAATGCAGGACATAAGTCCTTGCAGGAATACGTGGAACAAGTCCAGAAATCTCAACGGTTTGACTTTGCGGTAAGTTTCACTACTTAGTGAGCGGACAAGAGTTTAGAATGAGGTTCAGTAGTTACGTACAAGAGTCACGAATGACCGAATTAAGCAGTAATTCATTTCTGGTCAACTACAAACTACATCCATACACTTATTGTACTAGTTTGAACTTGATAGCTCCGTTGAAAAGCTTTGATAGAATAATCAAGAGGAGAAAAGCTGGACGAAGATTAATCCCTCTGGTTTGCGCCGCGCTTCTGACTTCCGTTCAGAAACTCTTTCGAGTGCCGAAAAAACGACTTGCGGGGTCGACCAGGGGTTCTGCAGCTGTTTTTGCTCTCACAGCCAGATCTGATGCCAAAGTCAGTTGTCAGTAACTCATTATCGCTAATTACATGCTGCTAATTATTGCAAATTAAATACTGACAATTAATTCTGTAATGCTAGTTACTTGTGTCAGTACCGGAGGAGTTAATTGAACTTATTATAATTACTGTTATGATCGTCAGTGTTCGACCATCCATAAACCATGGCTTCCTGTGAGGTCTGATTTGAATATGATCTTGTAGCCTCTGCTGAGATGATGTTACGATTTAATCAGCCTACGTTTCGGCTTTCTAACCCTCGTCAGGTCGTGGGAAGTCCAAGATCAGTGGGATTCTAACCTCATAAATCTTTTCACACCCAAGAATAATCCCCTATACACTACAGCATCTAGGGATTTATTGCTGATCAGAAATTCAAAGGCTCAGGACCACCGCTAAACTGCCTCGCTGGGAGTGGCTTCAGATGACCCAGCTCCTCGGTATGAGACCGATGGCGACTGAAGCCCACATTGGTCAACAAAGAGACTGAGCTTGTTTGCGGCTCGGAATTCATTTTTCCTGGTCATTTTTGAATTGCAGGCGCTTATGCAAAATGCTGTCAGCTGGAGCTCCAGTTTGCTCGCCGAATGTCTGCGTATCACAAGGGAGAATGGGTTTAGCCAGCCCGTTATTTTCTTTTTTTCTTTCGGAAAGCGACGAGATTGCGTCAGATTGTCCGCATTATCGTTTTCCCCCCTAGTTTCTTGGCACTTAAACGCTTCAAACGAACTCGTGAAAACGGGCTGGTTGGCGCGCCAGACCCGTTGCGCGCATTGAAGGAGAGGGACGGGTGCGACAGTCTTAGCTCGCCTGCGCGGTGGTGGGGCGTGCCCGGGAAGCTGGGTTTGGCACGGCGCCAGTCCATTTTCACCCAATCGAGGAAGCTGGCTAGCGATCACATCGGCAGCGAGCAAGACTGTATATAGTCCGCGTGACTTAGGAAAAATCAGCCACTGCCTTGACACCGTCTTCATAAGACCCGTTGTGCCCTTCTAATATGATAAATGACATTAAGGAACTGATTCTGCTATAATTAGCGTCACCACTGATATTGATCTTTCTTCAGGGTGGTTCTC